AACTGATTAATCAGACAGTTTACCAACAGACTCAAAGGTCATGACCTGCTGCTCTGGGAAAGGTCAGTGGGTAAGGTCAGGCTTTCTGTGAAGCTGCCAAATAAGGGCCCATGTTTACCATTTTAAAGATGATGATAGCAAATGTTAACGCTAGTCTAACTTTAGACTTAGCTCAAAGGAACAGTGTACCTTGATCATTCTTTAGTGGAAATAGATAAAGATGTGCAGGAAGACGACACATACAGTATGTGTGATGCTGCCCAGAACAGAGCAGTCTGATGTGTTGTTTGGGTTCAGGCTGATGGGGGGTGGGGGGTGGGGGGGTGTTAATGGTAACAATACAGCAGATGCTTTGGTCAAAGTTCCTAAAAGCAGTGGTAGTTAGGGTGGCTCTGGGGCAGCTGTTTGATCAATTCATAATCTAACTTTATTTATCTCACATTGGTGAAATTTACCTCTGCATTTAACCCCTCCCCCTGGGGAGCAGTGGGCGGCCATTGTGCACCGAACAGGGAGCACAGTCTGTGGGGATCAAACCGGGTACTTGCAACCTTCCCAGAGCACTGCACTGACCACTAGGCCAACACTCCCCTCATATGTTGTTTGGGAGCGGCAGGGGGAATGGAAGGCAAATAAAGCAAAGGCACGACCACCAGTCCAAAGAAATCATTTAGTTGGAGAACAAGGCTTAGACCTGATTTAGCTTATACTGGGTAGCATGTTTGTGGATTCAGTTGAAATTGTTGTGTTGGAAAGATGTAAGGATGAGGAGTAGTCTACTGATGTCAAGATTTGGTTTGAGGTTTTTGTTTGGACCCAAAAGCAGAAGCTGAGAGGCAGAGGTGAGTTCTTGGAGGGTTTAATGAGAGATCAGGCAACAAAAACAGGTATCCAAAAATCTGACATAAAAATCAAACACAAACCAGAACCATGGAGACATCAGGGGAAAACCATCAAGGAGCCAGGGTGAGGAAAGGTAAGACGGGGAACCAGCAAAGAGGGACTGCAGAGGGAGTGTATTTATGGCTGACTGAACAAAGGTAGAGCTAATGAGCTGATAGGGAGCAGGTGTGATTAGAGCTGATGAGGAAGCCAAGGGAAAAGAACACAAGGAGGCAGCAGAGGACAGACAGAAAAACCTAAGCAACTTAAATGAATCCAGACACACCAATAAAGCTAGAAAACAATGAAAAACCTGGCTAAACTTGAAACAGAAAACTTAAAGAAAAACAACTGAACCAAGATCGTTACAACTGATCGACATCATGAAGACAGGTTTTCAATTATTCTGTTATATTTAGTTAAATCTAGATGTGAATCAAAGAGAAATTGGAGGTTCTGTTCTTAATTTCATAACGACTTCTTGATGACTGGAGGGAGACAACGATACGCATATCGATGTCTAGTCTGCAAGAAACGGAAGAAGGCGACAGCAAAACTCCACCCAGATTGACCAAAGGGACAAAGACTCAGTCAGGGACGGGGCCCCTGATAAAGGCAGATGTTTTACAGATGTTACTGCTGTAACCAGGGCCGGATTTAGGAAATGTGGGGCCCTAGGCAAAGACAGGCAGGGGGCCCTCTGAATGGAGAAGACAACACATAAAACGGACCCATTATACAGATAGAGAAATGTTAATAGAATAGACATACATATACACATGGCTCCATGTAAATCTGTCAGATTTAAAGGCTAATGCACAGACACAGCATAAAGTATGCGGCATCATTCATGCATAATCTGCAAATAGGAAAATACTATAGCATAAACAGACATGTACTGGTAATTCAGTCTTGATGTAAAATATTTACATTATATCTAAGATGTAATTACCACAACAATGTCATCAATGCATGTTCATTACATGTACATGTTCATCTATTTAGCTCTTTTGGCTCATCTGTATTATTCTGCTCCATTAATGTTATTGTGATGGATTGTATAATATGTTATATTACATGATTTATAGACTTCATTGACTTCATAATGACTCTGCAATGTGATATTTTTTTATTCTAAGTTAAAGTTAATCTACTGGTGATCTAAAACAGCCAGTCTGTGTCAAAGTGATGGATTTATCTTTATTTTAAAATTCTTAAGTCCCCCTTAAAATGAGAACATCATGGTTGTTCGATGTTGCAGCGCACTGATTGTTTACATTGAAACCAGTCTAACTAGGGAGTACCAATATGGCTGCCGGTGGCTTCACTTCAACCCCATACTACCAACGAGCAATCAGCAATCCAATCGCCCAATCTCAGACACTCTGGTTTAACAGTCCAGACCACGAGTGTCCCCAGTGCTGCAGTCCCAGAGGTCATGCTGGAAGCCGATCCTGGTCAGGGATCCAGAACAGACAGGAACAGACAGAAACAGGCAGGATCCAGATCAGGCAGGAACAGAGACAGGTGGCAGAATCCAGACTTCCAGGCATCCACAGGCTCCCAGGCAGGTTCAGAGTCTGACTGGGACCAGAAGCATGACCAGGTGGTCACGCACAGGAGCAGACAGGATCAGGTGCAGAAGAGCAGGCTCAGTGGAAGAGGGTAGCCGAGACAGGACGTGGAACCAGAACTTGATGCAGGACTTTAAACTGGTCTCCTCCCTGGAGCCAGGCTTACTGGATAAAAACTGAACCTCCCCACATATTGAGCCAAAAACCCAGAGGACTCAGCGGGGGAGGAACAGTGGACAATCAGGAGACGAGACAAACACTAAAACCCTCTTTCCACTGGCTGCTAGGATCCAGGACATGAACCAAATAAAACTTAACAGAAAGACTGACAGAAAGACAAGCAATGATCTGGCCCTGAATGCTCAGGCTGAACTGAATATAAACTAGAGGAAACAGGTGAGGGGAATAAATTATAATTGAGGCAGGGAGGGAAAATGACAGGTGAGAGGAATTACTAATTAGGTAGAGCAAACAGGCCAGATCATGACATAAAGTGCTTTTATTTTACATGATAAATGCTTTTACTCACTGCTTCAAAACACTCAGCTGAATGTGAGAATAGTTCGAGGCAGATATGGTGGCAGCAGCAAGGGCTGGTTTTAGGTGGAGACAGGATTGAGTCCTCTGGAGTTTGCAAAGGTAATCAAGGTTAAAAAATGAGTGTGGCTCACGGCAGACCTGTGTTTGCTTTATAAAATATTATGCTCTGAAGCGAGGATGGGGAACAAGAGAAAGACAGCTTGGAAAGATGGAGGAATAATCTGGAAAAAGAAGATGGAAGCCATTAGACTTGTGTTAATGAGAGGAAGGGATGTGGAGCAGTGACCCTGGAAGGGACAGCGGTACAAGAAGAGGATGAGAAACTGGAGGTCAACCATCTGGGTGGGGTTATCAAGGACGATCCGTGACCTAAGCATAGCAGCAAGACTGGGAGGTAAAATTACATGACAGCCCCTGGATGGGCTGATGGTTGGGGTTTAAGATGAAAGCAAGGAACAGGAAGTTATACTTGAATACATATGTAAAGAATTTCCCTTTGAAAAGAGAAGGAAAAGTAAATGTTGATTGTGGAGCTGCGATCTCTGAAGGTCAGATTCATAGATACGTCATGGCGAGGCGTTGAGTTATGAGGCCTTAAAATGCGTCCTCCTTTTACCGCGATTTGAAGGACGGGTCCGATGTATCCTCCATAGCCCTGGATATCCCAGGATTCATTGCGAGATCAAACAACTCGGCTGCTCCATGATCAGAGGAAAGGTTACTTGGTGCCGAACAGTGGTGAAAATTGGAAGTTCAGTTTAATATAATCCAGTCTGTGAATAGTTTCGTCTGAAATGAATGAAAATAGTTGTTTTAATGGTTATAGAGTCAGATATGTGGCGGTAATGTTTGATTTATCTAAAGGTTTTTATCTGTTACTGTTTAAATGGGTTTGGCTGGAATTTAAGGACAGATTCTAATAGATCTGCAGGGGGGGGACTATAAATCTGATAGGAGTTTCATTTTTATTGCTGTTTTGCACAAAATGCTTAACTAAGTATTTTGTGCTGTTGAATATAAGAGATTTTTACAGATATATTTTTTATACATACATTGTTTAGATTTACTAATATCTGTCTACCCCTTTTATAGAATAGAATAGAAAATCCCTTTATTGTCCCAAAATGGGCAAATTTACAGCAACAGAAAGATTATTGAAAATGGTCACACAGATGAGGACCTTAGAAAAATGTATAAGAATAACATAATAGAGTTAAAATATAAACAATACAATACTGTAAAGTGTTTTAACAATATAAAACTGGGGAATAAATAACCAATATGCAGCTATGGACATTTTTACAGTAATGGATATTTGAAAATAGCAGCAACATCAGAGATGTGTAGAATGACAGCAGCAGGTTATTTAACTGACTAAGGTTTCTATCATTACATTTGATTTGATTAGTTCCTGCTCCCGGTGGTTGGAACCTTTATTCCACTCTGGATTCTTGTGAGTTTAGCTTTGTTTACTTTACAATAAAAAAATAAAAAAGAAACAGTTTTGAGAAGTTTGGTATTAAAGTCGTAGGGAAATCATTTTTTACACAAATCCGTGTATTAAAAAAAAATATATATATATATATTTCAATTACCGTAATAGAACATTTCTATTATGAAGAGATTTTTTCTAAATTTTAGGACAATACTGTTTGATAAATAATAAATTTATATGCATGTTTAAGCCAGAATGATTTGATATTTAAATATGACTTCCCTACGATTTTAATGTATATTTGAATCTCCTGTTTTTCTTTACTCCAGGTTTTTCTGTGCCCCATGAAAACACGCTGCCCCCTGGAACATGTGGTCTAGATCCGCCCCTGCTGCGTGGTGAGAATCCTGCCATGTACCCAACCAGCCAATAGGTGGAGCTACTAACACAGTTACTGTTATCTGGAAACATCCTGACAGCTTTATTATTGACACACTGAATAAAAATGGCATCTGGAGCTTTTTAACATTCTGACATTAAACAGGTTTGTGGCTCCAGTGAAATGAAATGTTTTTCCACCACTTGGCGTCTGTTTACGGCCGCCGATCAACTGACCTGTAGAGTGAGGTCACGTGACAGAGGCGTCGCTGAAAACATTGAGCCGTTCACCGCTTAGACGCCATCAGGAGCCGTTTGACCAGAACCCGGAGGCAGAGCTCCGACTGTCGCCGCTTTGTCCCTCCGATGGCAGAGAGAGCCGGGCGGCATGGGGGCTAAAGAGTCGAGGATCGGATTCCTGTCTTATGACGAGGCTGTCAGGAGAGGTGAGTTAGCTTAGCATCAGGCTAGCAGGAGCTGCCAGGCCTCCCGGTAGAAACCTGCGCTTTAACACAACTGCTCGGCTTTCGCCTTAAAACGCAGATTGAATCTGGATTAAGATCCGTAATCCCAGCCGCCTGGATGCTTTCCTCCATTCGGTGTGAATTAATGTGGATAATTAGCTTTAGTTTTTGCCAGAGCTGCTGTTTATGTTGCGTTTTCCGCAGTAAGCTGCCGCTGAAGGGCTGGACGTTTAAATAGACACCAATAAAGCTGACTTTATTTCACCTTCACTGTCCCTGCTGCTGCATAGAGCTGCTGGCGGGTGTGGTGGGGGGTTAACATGGAGGCAAGGTCAAGTTAAATGCTGCTTTGACAGAGGCTGCTCCCTGACAGGAGGGCTGGGGACCCTCACTACATCACTACTGAGGGGGTTATAGCTGCGCAGCCAGGCTGCAAGGCTGGGGGGGGGGGGGCACACCTGGAGCCAGTCTGGCCTCCTGTCTCACTAGAAGCTGCCTGAGGAGCTCCGGGGGGGGGGGCTGTCACCTGCTGGACTGGAGACGTGCTAACAGAGCAGGAGCTGCAGGAGGAGAAACAGGAGGAGAAGCAGGAGGAGCTGCGGTTTAATGGTTTACAGCAAACAGAAGTATTATAGACCAGTCTCTTTTGGTTTATTTTTTATATATATGTATATTGGGGCTGAAACAATTAATGGGATTGATCAATTATTGGAAAAATAGTAATCTGAGTTACTAATGGATTAATCATTAGCTTTAGAGACTCTGCCTTTAGCTGACAGAGCGATCCGCTGAGAACAGGAATTATAACAAGATTGTAAAGAAAATATATAAACATTAAGCATTTAAGATGAATAAAAAAACATTTAAAAAAATCATTTAAAAAAAGGAACCTTTTGCTCTCAATTTTAATAGATTTTTTGGGAGCCTTAATATTGTTCAGGTTTAATTTAGCCTTAATTTGAAAGCAGTGAATAAATCTGACGGGACAGTCTGCCCTTTGTGTTGGTCTGATATATAAAACCATTCCAACCTTCAGCTGAATGGATCTGAGGCCTCCTGTCACACCTGTCTGATTTCTCCAGCGTCTGCCTGACGTCCCAGAATCTCCTAAACTCTGGCAGACGCTGAACTTTCTATCGATTTATTCTATTCTGAGCGTAAACATAGAGTATTCAGAACGAGTCCAGAACTTCTGTCCAACGACAGCCTAACTTCTGAATAACACTCGGCAGCGTAATGCCCAGGAAAGGATGCACAGGCCAGAGTCCTGAGGGGGGCAGGAGGCGCCCAGCCTACAGAAAAAGATGTCTTTGATCACGGTATTAATCTAGCTGTTGTTTAACGCCCACCAGAAAAAAATGTCATGTCAAATGTGTTGGTGGTGGGCGTGAACGCAGGGAGGATCCATCACTCACCTTCTGGCTCACCCTATGATGGGGATGAAGTCTGGAGGAGAACTGATGGTTTCTTCCTGTGAACCCCCTTTATACCAAAACGCTGCCAATACGCCTTTATACAGTAGCTGGAAGGTAGAAACACGTTCAGCGCTCGTCTGGAACACGGGCAGATACACTGATATGTTGGAGAGAAGTTCTGGATAAGTTACGCAGAAGTTACTCAGAGGTTTAGGAGAAGCTGGGGAGCTCCTTGCAGATCTTCTGCTTGGTGGCCTTTTGGATGAAAATCCTGTTTTTTCCAGGATCTCAGTCAGCTTCCAGGTGGTGAGGACCAGCTCGTTTGTTTGATGCTGAGGCACTCTCCCTCTGTTGGACCCACAATGATCTGAGATTCTACTCCATTAAGCTAACGATGGATGGATTATTTCCTCCGTCTCATATTTGCTGGCATTTTTCTGATATCAGATCTATGTGTGCTTGTTGTTTGGGGATCCTTTAGCTGTGATGATCAAACATAATAACCGCAGTCATGCAGTTGGTCAAACAGTATCCAGCCTGATGGAGCGCTCACATGGCAGCATTCCTGAATCCCACTGCAGCCTGAGCCGCCGCTGCTGCTTTTGGGAAAGTTTGCTTTCCAGGATTATCCAGACCTGACTGATTAAAAGCTGTTATTGCAGGGCTGATTGCTCACTTTGTCAGCTGTTTTCCAGAGAGAGGCTTCAGTTAAAGGGGTTTCTGAACTAATAAGATGATGAAGTAAATATCCACACAGAGCGGAGCGCTGTGGTATCTTATCTATACTTGCAGCATATAATCCTATGTGTAAATTGCTGATCAGAGCACATCATGAAATGCCTCACGCTGTAATCTGTCACTGCAACGCTTGAACAGCCTGTCAGGAAAACACTGAGCGCTCGGTGTGGTGAAAGTACACTTCCTTTTTCCCAGAGGATTCTGTAAGAGAACATTGACTCAGAAAGGGAAGAAACTTTCTTATTTGGTTAGTAATATGCTAGTTTAACACGCGTGACAAAGTTCATATGGAAAACAGGCTTAAAGGTCGAGGCTGCGCATGTAACCGAGGTTCAAAGGTTCACTGATCTGAGCTGATCGCCCTCAGGAGGCCACGGCAGATACCGTCAGGAGCTGCAATAAGCTGCTGGCTCCACATTCACCCTTCCTCTCACCTTTTCACCAGCAATGCTCCTAAATATGAGGTGTCCTATTCCTTGTCAACTGCCGACTCTGTTGGCCCATTCAAACCATTCATCTGATCTCTGCTCCAGCAGATCAAACTGCCAGCAGTAACCATTAGTTTACAAATTGATTAATTGACAGATTAATCTGGGGGAGTGGTGGCCTACTGGTCAGTGCAGCGCTCTGTGCTCTGAGAAGGTTGCAGTACCTGGTTTGATCCCCCCAGACTGCCACTCTGGGTCCCTGAGCAAGACCCTTAACCCCACCCTGCTCCCCAGGCGCCGCACAATGGCAGCCCACTGCTCCCCAAGGGGAGGGGTTACATGCAGAGAGGGAATTTCTCCAATGTGACTTCAATAAATTTCAATTATTATTATTTTTTATTAATAATCTGATAGGCAGGGGTTCCTTAACGGCCCCCTTTTCACCTTGACGATTTAGACCAGCGTATGCCTGATGAAAGGAGAATCTGGCAGAAAAACGCTGCCATAGGTTTTGTATAAGTTATGAGCATGAGCATAAGTGCTGCGTGTTCTGGATGGAGCAGATTGACAGAAGAAACGTTTGTTAAACTTAAAGTTTATGTATTTTGTTTTGTTTTTTTTACAATCTCATAATTCCTGCTCTCAGTGGGTGGCTCTGTCAGCTAAAGGCATGTTTTAGATTAGTCGATTACTAAATGAGTTGATGATTATTTCAATAATGGATTAATCCAATTAATTATTTCAGCCCTAGTTGAAACATTAATGTTGATTGATTGTTGAATGCTGTATAGTGTCTGAACCATCATGAGGTTAACAACAGCTCAGGTCACTGGGAGACGTCTGTTCTGACTGTTTTCAGAAAGAAGAGCTGAAAAAACTAAAAACTGCTTAAAAGCCTCTAAAGAGAAGCAGATGTAAACGTGCCGTTTGTTGCCAACCAAAGCTCGTCATGATCGGGCTGCGGCCAGGGCGAGCGACCGGCTGTCTGCGGCCAGGGCGAGCGACCGGCTGTCTGCGGCCAGGGCGAGCGACCAGTGCAAAGGACAGGTCCCTAGCGACGGAGCGGTTTGCACTGGGCCTAGAATCTGTTTAGAGCCAATTCTCATCAGGTAATAATCAGTTTTTCATCGAAGCGTCTGGATTGTTGCAGGGCTTTTTTAGGACTGTCCTGTTTTACAGCAGCCTGGCCACCATAACACAGCGAGCAAATGGCTAATTAGCATAACAGCCCAGGATGCCTGGAGCTTATTTCTGAACAAGCCATGCTGGGACTGAATGTCACTTATGTTTCTGACTGGCATGAATGACGCCTGACCAAGTCCCTCATATGTCAGTCTGACGCAGACGGCTGCGTTGAAGGGAAGGACGGCAGGTTTGACACGGTGTGCCAGGCTAACGGTCCCTCCATCGTTCACCACACCAGGGATTCCCCCCTCCTCTTTGCTGATGGTGTTTATGGCATTCCTGTTTTAAGGAAAGGTTTGTGGAAAAGGCCTCAAACATGTGAATATTCCCAGGAATGCCTATCTCTCCATGTTAAGTAACAACCAAGTTAATATTTAATAGATGACGTCTCTTTATGGTGAAGAAAAACTTCCAGAAACAGCAGCTGACCATAAAACTGATAACAGTGGCTGATTGGAAGAGAGCTGAACCGTCCGTCCGTGTTGGAGGTGTTGGTACATCATGTTAGCCCTGAGGTCATATTAAAATGATTTGCCTCCAAATATGCCGTGGCTGGCATACTGTGGCTGACATGGCTGTACCGTGGCTGACATGGTCGTACCGTGGCTGGCATACTGTGGCTGACATGGCCGTACTGTGGCTGACACGGCCATACCGTGGCTGGCATACTGTGGCTGACATGGCCGTACTGTGGCTGACATGGCCGTACTGTGGCTGACATGGCCGTACTGTGGCTGACATGGCCGTACTGTGGGTGACATACTGTGGCTGACATGGCTGCACCGTGGCTGACATGGCTACACCGTGGCTGACATGGCTACACCGTGGCTGACATGGTCGTACCGTGGCTGACATGGCCGTACTGTGGCTGACATGGCTACACCGTGGCTGACATGGTCGTACCGTGGCTGACATGGCCGTACTGTGGCTGACATGGCCGTACCGTGGCTGACATGGCCGTACCGTGGCTGACATGGCCGTACCGTGGCTGACATGGCCGTACCGTGGCTGACATGGCCGTACCGTGGCTGACATGGCCGTACCGTGGCTGACATGGCCGTACCGTGGCTGACATGGCCGTACCGTGGCTGACATGGCCGTACCGTGGCTGACATGGCCGTACTGTGGCTGACATGGCCGTACCGTGGCTGACATGGCTACACCGTGGCTGACATGGTCGTACCGTGGCTGACATGGCCGTACTGTGGCTGACATG